CTTCCACACTGGACTCTACCCTTCCACACTGGCCTGTACCCTTCCACACTGGACTCTACCCTTCCACACTGGCCTCTACCCTTCCACACTGGCCTCAACCCTTCCCACTGGCCTCTACCCTTCCACACTGGCCTCTACCCTTCCACACTGGCCTCTACCCTTCCACACTGGCCTCTACCCTTCCACACTGGCCTCTACCCTTCCACACTGGCCTCTACCCTTCCACACTGGCCTCTACCCTTCCACACTGGCCTCTACCCTTCCACACTGGCCTCTACCCTTCCACACTGGCCTGTACCCTTCCACACTGGCCTGTACCCTTCCACACTGGCCTCTACCCTTCCACACTGGCCTCTACCCTTCCACACTGGCCTGTACCCTTCCACACTGGCCTCTACCCTTCCACACTGGCCTCTACCCTTCCACACTGGACTCTACCCTTCCACACTGGCCTGTACCCTTCCACACTGGCCTGTACCCTTCCACACTGGCCTGTACCCTTCCACACTGGCCTCTACCCTTCCACACTGGCCTGTACCCTTCCACACTGGACTCTACCCTTCCACACTGGCCTGTACCCTTCCACACTGGACTCTACCCTTCCACACTGGCCTGTACCCTTCCACACTGGCCTCTACCCTTCCACACTGGCCTCTACCCTTCCACACTGGCCTGTACCCTTCCACACTGGCCTCTACCCTTCCACACTGGCCTCTACCCTTCCACACTGGCCTCTACCCTTCCACACTGGACTCTACCCTTCCACACTGGACTCTACCCTTCCACACTGGACTCTACCCTTCCACACTGGACTCTACCCTTCCACACTGGACTCTACCCTTCCACACTGGACTCTACCCTTCCACACTGGCCTCTACCCTTCCACACTGGCCTCTACCCTTCCACACTGGCCTCTACCCTTCTCCACTCCTTTGCGTTTACCCACATTACTCTCTACATCGCCATTTATGACCTCTCGACACGTTCCACACACAACTTTCTCCCTCAGTGACTGCAAGAATAGTGATGTCGGGTGACGCATCAGTGATGATGGCTAGGCTAGGCTTGAATGTGGTTTTGATGCTTGGCACCGAGGATTTTCGTTATTGATTTAGGGGAAACGACGGCACTGGTGCCGGGTGGCCCCCCGCGTTTCCGGGATGGGAAAAACTCAAACCTGGGGGCTAATTGTCACCTGTCAGGGGAAGACTATCATGCCTTGCTTAGATTTTACCTGGACTGGGTTCTGCCAGTTTAGGGATAACTTAGAGCGGCCCTTTCCCCCCTATATCCACTACAACCCGGTTGATCTGGCACTTCTTGCAGAAACGGTCTTTTTTGTTTTTAGATGTCCAGTTTTGTTCCGTAAATATTTCCAGATTTATTTACAACATATATATTTTTATATTGCTATATCATATATAGCAACATACCATATATATTGCTATATATAGCAAGCATATACTGTAAAGTCATGAACATAAAGTCATAAAGTTCATACAGTGTTCTCTGATTGTGCCAGTTGCACCTCTACTCTTCACTAGCTCTATTCTGCATTTCCTGCCATATTGCTTGATCCAATGTGTTGTTATTTTACTTTATAAAATGGCCTTCTAGTACCTTCCACTTATATGTGATACCTCTTTCGTATCCTTTCTAGAGAGCACATTTTCAGAGCTTTGAGACGGTCCCAGTAATTTAGGTGCATTATCATGTCTATGCGTGCCGTATATACGTATTCCTTCTTTTTTCAGTACTCTCTCCTGCTCTGAAAAGGGAAGCGAGTACCGAACCGTACACAAGATGGGAAAGCACAAGTGATTTGAATAGTATGAGCAGTGTAGTGAAATCCCTGCATTTGAAGGCTCTCATAATCCATCCTATTATTTTCCTGACACCATACTTGCTTGCTTATGCTCACTGAATATCGAGTCATCAGACATTATTATTTCCAGATACTTTACATGTTTTCCTTTTATGAGTAGATCTGATTGTGTCTTGTACCCTGTATTTCGTTTAAGTTCTTCATTTTTACCATACCTAAGAACCTGAAATTTATCACTGTTAAACATAGTGTTATTTACCGTTGCCCATGTGAAGACTTAATTAATATCGACTTGTTTTTTAATGTCTTCTATAGAAGTAATTCTCATGCCGATTTTTGTTTCGTCTGGCAAAAGATAACACTAAGCTGTGTCTGAAGCTGTATTTTTGTCTGTATCTGATAATAGAATCAGAAAAAGTAATGGTGCCAGGATCGTGCCCTGAGGTACAGAGATTTTCAGTGTGCTTGGAGTTGATTTTATTTGATCAACTGTTACTTTTTTCGCAATTTGACAGGAAACCGAATATCCATCGCCCTACTTTGTTATTCCCATTGATCTCATTTTATGATCTATTACACTATAGTAAAATTTATCAAATGTTTTTGCAGTCTGTGCAAATCCACTTTGATCTGAGTTTCGAAGGTCATTCTTCTTCATAAAACTGTGGGTTTTGACTCCTAATCACTGTGGGGTCAGTATTTTGGTTATCACATCCTAATCACACTTCCAAAAGACTTAATTGTGTGTGATGTTAGTGGGACTGGTCCAATAATGACGATTTTTTTATTAATATAAAGAGAAGAGCAAGATACAGTGGCTAATTGATTATTGCAGTGTGTGTTCATTTAATAAAGCCACTAATACACAAAGCGTTTCAGATATGACAAACTAAATCAGTTTTAAGTTGTAGGTTTGATGGGTTAGATTTGCCGAATCTAAGTAGTTCAGGTTGATTTCCTGCTATAATGTTATTGTTTGTTATTCTCCATCTTACACTGGGTAGATTAAAGTATCCAAGGAAGATTATATCTGGTACTGAATTTTCTAGATTATCGAGGCAGTTATCTATTTTATGTCCTCTGTGAATTCCTTAACTGTTGCGTGTGGTAGTTTGTATATTAATAATTAGTTTTTTTATCTACTTTGGTTTCAAGTACCTCTACAACGTTATTTGTAGAGTTCGCGAGCTCTGAGCATACAAGATCCTCTTTAATATACAAGCCTACTACTCCATGTTATGCATTTACTCTATCACATCAATATTAATTATATCTGGTATCCTGATCATACTGTCCAGGTAGTCTCCTGCATGAAAGCTCCAAATACTGCATTTGCTTCCGAGAAACAGAAGCTTGTGTCCTGGCATCCTTCAGTGAGGTGAGCGCCCGACCCCTACACAAGTGACCAGCTGGAAGACATCACCCAGTGACACCAGACCAGTGAGAAGTCGTGTAAACTCTGGGTAGTAAGTGGTAAGTAATTATAGGGGGGTAGAAGTAGCCTAAGCTACTATATCCCTTTGAGATGTATTTCTTTCTTATCCCAATAAACATACTTGAACTTGAAGTAAGTAATTATCAAAAGAAGGCACCAAGTCGGGAAGGCTATGTAATGAACTACCTACATAAGGTTATGTAGGTAGACTACCTACATGAGGTTATGTAGGTAGACTACCTACATGAGGTTATGTAGGTAGACTACCTACATGAGGTTATGTAGGTAGACTACCTACATGAGGTTATGTAGGTAGACTACCTACATGAGGTTATGTAGGTAGACTACCTACCTGAGGTTATGTAGGTAGACTACCTACATGAGGCTATGTAGGTAGTCGAACGAAGTCCAGGACAATCTGCAGAACTGCAATGGCCTATCTTAAACTCTAGCTCTCTTAAATGGGTAAAAGCATCTTCCAGTAGCCTTCGGTAATGCAGGAGACAAACTCCCACCACGCCCCGACGTGCCAGGAACCCACCAAGACCATCCAATTCATGACCGGACACCGGCGACTGTATCCAATCGGAAAACGAAAAATCTATAGACTTTCCTGCCTCAATATGATAACTGCGCCAGACTTAGTATCAATTTGGGCCGTTTAAAAGGAATATCCTGACGACAGTACCGACGCCCAATGGTTAAAATTACATCACGTGTTCCGGTGGTCCCCAGGCAGAGCAGGTATATAGGTGTTCAGCCGTCGGCTCGTCGTGTAGATTGAACCCCCCAAGTCTCTAGATGTCGAGTTGTGAACTTGTGAATGTGGCGGCGAGGGCAGGATGTTGTCTTGATGACGTCAGATGGTCGCTTGTGCCACTGTTGCAATGTTTCCGTTTTCTATGTTTCGTTTTCTGGGTAATTTGAATTGTTTGAATAGGGGGGGTCACATCTATTTTAATACTTAGGACTTGCAACTTCACCAGTGTAATCAATGCTATCAATTTATAGTGTAGTAATTATGTCAAACTCAAATTTTACTACAATGTACAGTACCTAATAATATTTTCACTTTTATTACAGTACTGTAGTTAGATTAAGGACCTGCCCGAAGTGCTGCGTGTGTTAGTGGCCATGCAAGAATGTAATGTTCAAACACAAATGTTATGTACTATCACAGCCCAATGTACCTTCTTATATATAATAAATAAATAAAAATAAAAAGTATAATCATACAGTATAACACTTGGATGTGATATGAGGACAAGGCACTGGGATATAAGGGCAGATTGAAGGAATGGTGCCCAACCACTTGGAGTGTCGGATCTTATTTCAACCAAGCCAGAGGCGAGGGTGTCGCTTCACCGATAAGTTCAAGTGGTTTACTAGTACAGTACTGTATTGTTTCAAATTTAAAAAGTGTTGTCCCAATTGAAAACTTGTTTTAAGAATACTGTATAACCATGTCCCCACAGACTTGCCATAAAAATACAACTAATTCTCAAGTGTTCATTCAAAGAGTGATAGACCTCCTTTATCACTTTGGGTAATGAAAACAGATAAAATGATAAGATTGAAATTGCTTAAAGCACATGTTCCAGGAGTAGACAAACTTGCCACTACTGGAGACAAGACATACAAAAAATAGAAGTTCCAATGTTCTGCACTTGTCTGCACTGCACAAATATCTTCCCATTAAAACAAGTATTAATGTAAAAATTAAGGTAATTCAAAGACAGATAAGGTTTACTGTTTATTCAAGTACCCTATATACATTACAGAGCCTTTGTCAATCCCAGCTTGGGAAGAAAGGCATTTCAAAACTTTATTACCAGCTAAGTCCTTACAGGCTGGCTGATCCAAGTGCCTCAGGCAGTCATTCATTAACCCCATGATTTGAGTAAAGCATTAGTCAAAATGTCATCTAATACACAACGAAATCACAATAGTGTGATATATTTATGAGAAAATGTTTGGAGCAGGATGTTTGGGATGACCCAGGATGCTAGTTCAATCCTGCCATCCTGCTCCAAAGATTTAATTCAATTTTCTTAATCTAATACTGTACTAAAAATTAAACGAAAAAAGTGTCGGCTGTGCTTGCAAAGCCAGCAAATGTTTCTAATTGATTTTATGATGAAAATATGCTACAGTATATACATAAGATGGATTAAATCACTGAAATACAGTATCTGTATGTGCATCAATAAATTCCCTTAACCAAATCAGGAAAATCTTATTTATACATTATATATTTTACAAAAGTAAATCTATTGAAGGAAAGGTATAAGAAACTCTTAAAATAATAAGATTGAAATCGTTCACAGCCACCATGCCCTTAATTCCGGTACATAAATCAAGTCTATTGACCTGTGACATTTGAAAACTGATGCTGCTTCAAAACCTTAACAGATGCAGCATAAAAACCATGAGCTTCTGGTGGGCACAAATTGCTATTCTCTTACATATCACAGTCAGACTAGACCCATAGCAGGCACTGCCAAACAGAAGGCTCACTCTAGTTCATGTGAGATCCATGCAAACCACATATATAATGCCTAATATGCTATGCAAAGAGTTTCTTGAATTTAGTAGATGTACGTGCCATCCAGCCATTCGGATGTTCCTTTTTTCTTAATTTAGGTCCAAACATGCTATATGAACTTTCTAATATTTCTAATATAAGCCACAGAAACTTTCACAAACTAAACGTTTCCATGAGTTATACAGTAATAATTCTACAATTGTTCTTGGAAGCTATAATATAGAGAGGCTCAAGGATCTAGAGAGCCTCTGGATAGCCATTAAGGTTCTACAGAGCCCATTACTACCATAATCAAAGATTTCTACAAATCACCTGGCTGTGGTTAAAAAGATGCCAATGAACAGCCAGAAAGGTTACTATATAGCCTTTGGCTAGCACTGAATGTTCTAAAGTGCCTCTGGCTTCTCAGAAAGGCTTCTATAGAGCCTCTAAATTGCCATGAAGAATGCTAGCAACTACACAATGATATCTGGGTCTTATTCAACTGGTTACTCATACAGTGCACCAATACATTAGACAGACTTGATAACACAAATTATATTTTTTTTGGAAAGGAACAGGCCACAACATACAGTACTAATGTTAAATGAGGTCCCCAACTACTTGATTATTTTTGAATTCACTAAACAAGTATTTAATTTGAGTTTTAGTATGCAATAATCAACTGAGTGAACTAACAATATTAAAAAAAATAGCTGTGGAAAAAGCTAAATGAAAGCGAATTCTTTTCAAAGCAAACATATAAGTTGAAGCTGTAGTGAAATAGAAACTAATAAATATAATACATGACAAAAAGACATGATATACTTCAAATAAGAATCCAGATTCAAAAATATTTTGTATACTATTTACATTCCCAATTACTGAAATACTGTACTGAATATGGATAAAAAATCAATGTTTAGAGATCTACTACAATGGCCTTTAAAGCATTGCTGAACTTTTAGCCAGCTATTATGTGGCATTTTTCATCTGGCCGTATATTTTTGGTTATTGAATCGAGCCATGAATTTGTAGGAAGGTAGGTTAGCAGAAACATACTATGTCATGTATGGAGCCTTTATTCACATACTCTTGAAGAGTTATGTTAAGAGCTTCTGAACCCACTTCCTTATCTCTGACTAGTGCTTAAATTGCTCATCTGATACACTAAATTATGATCTGAGAATTTATTTGAAGCATACTTTTAGTTTTATGACTGCAGTTCAAAGTATGAAATACTGAACATAAATAATATTGGTTCTAGTTCACACAACAGTAACCTACACTGTACATGTCTCCGTATGTGCTTTCATATGCACTCGACAATAAGCGTATACAGGTACTTAATACACATATTACTAAATATATATAATATTTAGTTACAACCAATGACACTAACTTAGCTAAGACAGTGTCTAAATTGACATAAAATATTTATGTCCCAATTTTCTTGACTGAAATTAATTACTACACTATACAGTATTAAAATCTCATTGAAAAAAAATAATTAAAAAAGAAAAGATTGTATTTACATCAGCTCAAGAAGCAACTATCTCATTGAAGTCAAAGGAACTACAGTTCTCTTTTCAAATTATCAAACTAACCAGAAATTTAGGAATTTTATATCCACAAAATATAAAAAATTTAGCAGATTAAGAATATTTTTATTAATTCCTGAAACACCATATTAATAGTAAGTTATGGAGTAAAATCTGTACCTATTGTTTACATTACAAAGGGTTATTTAATGATACAAATAATGTATGCAGTTAATTGTGCAGGTATGTAGACTATGACTTAAAGGAATGAACAAATCAACAAGGGCCTTGATGATGAGGGTTCAAACCTATGCACTGAGTGTCCCCAGATGCCCTCTAGTCAACTGTACCACAACATGGTCAAAAGAATTGCAATCTGGAGTGCTACTGCCCTCACGAGGATCCCGAGGCTTCCACTGAGGCCTAACCGCTCTGTCAACCAAATAGTTGTACCTCTGACTACTTCAATGCACACAGAAATCACAATAACTTGATACCATATATCATGTTATATATATATGAACAAATCCACAAACCCTTGTGGATTTGTTCATTTGATATACAGTACCATACAGTACAGTATCACGTTATTGTGATTTCTGTGTGTACTTAAAGGAATGTTAATACAATAATATATTCACAAAATAATTAAGATGAAACTGCTATACTGTACAGGGAGTTAGATTGAGAAGCTATGAATCAAGATGATATTGATAGCTGTATAATCATTAAAAAAAATTACAAGTCTGAACATTAACACAAAAAACTTGATACATAATTAGTAGTTTGAAAAAATATATGTATCTTAAACAAATTAATTTAACTATATACAGTAGATAAAATAACACAGTGCAATAATACAGAAATTAGTCCAGGCTCCATTATTATAAAATTAACAAAATAATTTATTTTAATTGACAATAGTAATTCAAAATACTGTACTTGACAAAGCTCTCCAGTTCATTATCTTGATTTTATCAATTGTAACCCAGCTCCATGACAGCAGTATGTGGTAAATGGGATGGCGATGAAAGGCATAGTGATAAGGATGATGAGGATAGTGATGATATTGATGACGACAGTTTAACCAGAGGAGCGTAGGCTACACAAATAATTCTGTATTAATTACCATGTTAAAAAATGAGATACATCATACCTTACTAAAGTAGGGCAGATTACAGTACTAAGTAGAGAGTCATCGTAACTGAATGGGGCAAATTTGTTTAAACAAGGATATAACAGTACCTCACTTAATTGGGACAATTTTGTTTTAGTGATACCTTGTGGTTACGTTGTGTTGGTTTCGGGGCTTAGGGTCCCCGTGGCCCGGTTATCACCTAGGCCTCCTCGTTGCTGGACTGGTCAACCAGGCTGTTGGACGCAGCTGCTCGCAGCCTAACTTATGAGTCACAGCCTGGTTGATCAGGTATCCTATGGAGGTGTTTATCAAGTTCTCTCTCGAACACTGCGAGGGGTCGGACAATTATAATTGCAGATATACAATATCACTTAATTGGGACAGATTTGTTCAAAACCCCCTCAACCTTTCCCCTCCACAGGATATTAAATGTTATTAAATAATGTATCTTTTTTTTTCAAAGCAGGGCAGCCCATATGGTGAAAACTGCTTAAATACTAATATGGAATTGCAGTATCTGGCTGATTTAAAGTCCTCAGATTTAATGCCCTGCTGGATTTAACGGCTGGTTTTGAGATCCTTATTTACCGAGTCAATATCTTGTAAAGGTAGATTATGATTGGTATTGAATTAACGAGGCTTGCAACTAGGTAGACAAACAACTATCATTGGGATTGTTGTGGTATAACTTCGCCCTTGTTAGGCCAATAAATTCCACAATGTGTTTGTTTGGGTGTGGGACTGTTCCGCGTTTTCCTGAAATGACTGTAGAGATGTATCAGTGTGTCTCTGCAGTTGGCGTGGGACGGATGAATGTCTGTGAATGTGGGTGTGAGGGGAAAAATGAGTGTGCCTCTGTCAGGAGAGAGCGTACTGTAGTCGAGTCGGAAGGAGTCAAGTATTGGTGGGTGGAATAGGAAGTTTAATGTGTGTGTGTATGTGTGAAGAGGAGGGGTAGAGGGAGTTGTATAATTTTCAATAAGAAAGTATCTGGGGGTCTGAGAATACTCAGAATTACTCTGAGAATTAAAATATTACCAACATTTAACAACTTTGGATTTAGCAACCAATTTAATTTAAGGAGAAGGGGTATATCCCCATACAGGTAATTAAATTGAGTGGATACTGTATTGTATTTTAAAACAAAAGGGTTCTGAAAATAAGTAACAATTAAACTGAATAATCAGACAAAAATTATATAACCAGTAAAAAGAACAACAGTGCCAAACTGCCTGTTACAATCTTTCATTGTTTTAGCTTCTAGAGACTAAATACTTAATACTTTTATTATTTTTAACATTATTTTTTTTTGTAAAAAAATACAACTGGCATCTAATGAACTAACAAAAGAATTCTACCATCATTTGTGGTGATTTACATCTAACACAACAGTTTTTAACTATATCATGTATTTCTACAGAGTTTTATTAAGGATGTACCATCCCTGCAGCTGTCAAGTTCCAATACAAAAACAAACTTTCCAACTAGCGATGGCAAGCCAACACTGAAAGTACAGAATTCCAGATTTTCCAATTTTCAGTAGCTGACCAATTTTCCTGGCCGATGTTACTGGAAGCCGAAAGCAGTGATGTTTGATGTTAACATCAATGTCTTTCGCCTCAACATTTCAGTTTCTTTTGAGCCACATTTTAGACAAGTAAAAAATGGCAATAAATGATACGGTATTATTACACAAAATACTGCATATGTATTACAAGGGAGTTTTTATTTTGTAATTTTAAATTATGATATTGTTTACGAGCATGTAAATTACAGTATGGTACTATATCTAAATTTCTGCCTGAGCCAGTGAAGTTACTCTGAGATGCCCATAATACTTGTTATTCATTTGTACAAATATAACTAAAATTGAAACAACACATTTATCTGGAAGTTGCATTAATATAACGAACTAAAGCAGCCAAATAATAAGTAATGCATACGTTTGTGTATACAGTATTTGTATATATGGTTAAGTTTGATTCAGTTGTTTAGTAGGGGCTGAGTACATTATTTTATTATTTAAGATATTGATACTATGAGAAATGTTCTGCTTGCTGCCTTTACCTGCTGCAGCCACATAATTAAGCAATCTATACAGCATTACCTTCTTTAAATGGTTATTTCACAAAATAAATTTGAAAAAGATTATGATAGATAACACTGAACAAAAAACACTTCATTAACTATCTATTATTAGTTTTCTTTTTACTAACCAAATACAGTACTGTACACGTAGAATAATCATTAGTCTAAAGGAAGAGTAGAAATTCTGGTTATTTAACAGACACCTAAAGTTAAAATATGTTTATAATGAAAAAGGCAGGTTACTACTCTACTACTCTTGTATGTTAATACATCATTTATTTATAAGGCTGCCTGCCTATTTATGGATTGAAGATTAAGGGGGAATATTTACCCTCAAAGAAACACACACAATAGTAAGATAATGCTGAAACTACAACATCTACATATCAAGTTCTCTGACGATTAATATCTTTGAGTCAGCCTAATATGTCTGTCACCTTTGTTATTATAGAAAAGATTATTTCTGGCTGGTCTGATTAACATATACAAAGGATTGAGAGACTTTGCCAAGCAAAAGAATTAATTGTGCTGTACAGGATCAAATGAATATTTGACAGGGTTCCTATGAATAATATATTGAGAGATTTGTCTGTTTTGTATGTTGCATTTTTTAATCACATTTCATCAAAGTAACTACTGCAAACATCTACTACACAAATGTGGATGAGACCAGTATGCTAAGAGAAACAAGATACTGTAATATATTATTTGAGAGCAAGTCTATATTAGTGATAATTCTATAGTGAAATTATTTGACCTTAAATAATACTGATGCAGCATTGAGAGATATCAGTGTCTGCAGATGCCTTTGCCACATATATGTGGCAAAAATGATTGTGGCACTTTTCATTAGTTATCTGCCTGACTTAACTTGGAAATCTTCCCTTGTATCAAAGGCTGAGGGTTGACAGCATTATACAGGAGGGATGGGTGGGTTGAGGGAGACACAGGCATTTCAGGTGTTGGTAGATATGAGCTCAGTGCTTAAAAGGCAGGTAGAGTGCCAGCAGAAGGGACCAACATAATAATACAAGTCCCGGCACTAATGTTGAGCTTGTGTCGCCTACACCCATCTGCTGCGCAATGGGCAGCTTGTTTTCACCGTCCGTTGTGGTGGCTAAGGAATCCAACTTTGGCTTTTCTTCTGAGGTTGCTTCTCCTTCGGGGGATGGTGTAGTGGTCGTTGTGGTTGTCGTTGTGGTAGAGTGGATGAGAATTTGTGAGGAAACAAATTCTCCTTCAATCTCAGTGTTATTGGAAAGATAGTAGGGCCTGGAGAAGTTAGCTCGGAGTTCAATCAGGTGTTTGTGCATGTGGAGGCCAGTGATTGCACGTGGTCGACGCTCTCCATCCTTATACACAGCTGTAAGTTTGGCCGAGTATGGTGCTTCATATTTTTGCATGACAGCAATCAGCTCCACATTGATTCCAGTACCAGCTGGTAATTCAAATTCTACCCGTTGCTGCTCTAAGTGATCTAGTTCATTCTCACTGCCCCAGGTGATGTCTTTAATGTTACCTGATGGATCTGTCACAGTAGCGTCCAGACCCGTGACAGTGCCTCTCACACGGCCCCAGTAGATAATTTCCTTGACAGTGTAGTCCAGGGTGTCACTCACCAGCTGGTCCTCATTCTTGGAGTTGGTTAGTGTGGTCAAGGAGACAACTTCTTCTGATGTCACTATCTGGCTGTGCTTTTCATTACGGACTACCTGATCCACTTTGTAGTTTATTGGTTCGTCCTCAGTCAGAATGATGGCACTCACCTGCTCGTGGAACTTGCCATCCTTCAGCAGGTAGGCTCGACGTTTCTGCACATCAACATACCCGGGGAAAATATTGCCTTCATCAGTCTTGGCAATAGCCAAAAGCACATTTGGCGTGGCAATGCCACGAGAAGGAATTGCCTGAAGGTTGTCCCAGTCTACAGTCACCACTCGGGCTGATTCATTGATAGACACGAGCACTTCATATTCCTTAATTTCAAATACTTTATTGATGAATGGAATATGGCAGAGGCTGTCTACCACAGCACCCGCTATCATGTTGGCATGCTGTCGAGCCCTGCACCAGAGGGGACCACCTTCAGTAACAGAGAGTGCATGAGAGGGTGGTGTCTGGCCAGCATGGAGGTCCACCCATTCAAGAGTAGAGGTGGTGAGGAAACTACCAGGCTTTTCCATGATCTTGGCCATCTCCACGCCATAGCAGCATCCCACCAGCACTGCAGCAGTCACCAGGTACACACACACTGAAAAACATAAAGGGAGTCAGTCAAACAGGACTAGGTAGACTCGGTAACAATGGCAACGATGAGTTGAATAGACACCAAGTACAGAATGAACACAAAGTAATGCAAACATTTTTGTAAAGTTTAATAATAACCCTTATACAGTAATTCAAATATAATTTCAAAATAAGAATAAACAAGTTCCTCAATGACAAGATGAATTCTTGTACCTTGCTGCAACACTTAGTCAAGTGTGGCACAGTGGGCTACCTACTCGATCCACAATCGAGGATCCTGGGTTTGCTTCCTGTGAGAGTCAGAAATGGTTAGGCACGTTTCTTTTCACCTGATGCCTCTCTTCAATTAGCAGTAAATAGGTACCTAGGAGTTAGGCAAATGTTACAGTCTAGGGAAGGTCAGTAGATGACTTAGAAAAACTTAAATAAGCTTGAATACCTGCTTCCTCTCCCCGACAATGGAAACTGGAAACTGTGAAAGCAGCAGATTCCAATTTGTTCAATGAAGACAACCTTCTTCTCTGATTCTAAAGGTGCAAACAAAGACATGAAAATTACATAGGATTATACAAAAGTTGTGAGAGCACGTTGAACAGGACTGCATGGCGGTGGAGGCTTTACGGGGTATTCATGCCCATGTCACCTTTTTGGGTGGCTTAATCTTTATCTATCAATCGGTGGAGGCTGTATTATAGATCAGACACACCCTCGTCACACCTCCCCAGCTACAACACTCAACCTCACTCCAACATACATACATACATATATATATATATTATATATATATATATATATATATATATATATATATATATATATATATATATATATATATATATATATATATATATATATATATGACAATGTCAGACCACGGAGAAAAAATGAAACAGGAAATTTCCTTAAGTACTTTCGTATATTAAATACATCTTCAGAAGGTCATTTTACAGATCGAGTGATGGGTATAAATAGGCAGGAGAGAGTGGTGAAGTAAGGTGAGGTACAATACTTGGACAACGCAGAAGGCCCATTGGCCCATCAGATGCACCCAATTGGCCCATCCGATGTAGCCCAATGGCCCATCTGATACAGCAGACATACAAGCATAATGCATAGGTAATTATAACATAAAGAGGACATTTTTCCTCCGTGGTCTGACATTGTCACATTCTTAATCACGTGTTTATTTTCGTGATATACACACACATATATATATATATATATATATATATATATATATATATATATATATATATATATATATATATATATATATATATATATATATATATATATCCATCATGCCACCTCTCTCTCTCTCTCTCTCTTTTTTTTTTTTTTTTTTTTTTTTTTTTTTTTTTTTTTTTTTTTTTTTTTTCCAGGGATATTCCTGCACGGGCCCTAAGCCTCTGGTTGGCCCACTAAATGCCACCTCTCGTGGTCAACTCCAGCCTCATCATGGAACTGGTTTATGTTAAACTAATTTATTTTTGCTTTACAATGTTTATATTTCAACTTCAGTTTGTATAATTCACAGCTTTCTCTTCTCCCTTTCATCTTATTTCCCCCTTATCATCATCTTTCTTTCCCCTCTCCCTATTTATCCTCCCCCCTCTCCCCATCTTTTTCTCCTCCCACCTCCGTTTTCACATCTCATCTCTCTCTTCCCTCACCTATATTTTCCCCCTCTCCCCAGGGAGTGTAGTCTATACCAACCGCCCGCCCAAACACTGAACAATTAAAGGAAATAATATTTAATTTGCATAGTAAAGCTGGCGACTCGCTTACCCATTTGTGGCCCCAGACTAACCATTTGAGGCCCAGACTAACCATTTGAAGCCCAGATTAACCATTTGAGGACCAGACTAACCATTTGAGGCCCAGACTAACCATTTGAGGACCAGACTAACCATTTGAGGCCCAGATTAACCATTTGAGGACCAGACTAACCATTTGAGGACCAGACTAACCATTTGAGGCCCAGATTAACCATTTGAGGACCAGACTAACCATTTGAGGCCCCAGACTAACCATTTGAGGCCCAGACTAACCATTTGAAGCCCAGATTAACCATTTGAGGACCAGACTAACCATTTGAGGCCCAGACTAACCATTTGAGGCCCCAGACTAACCATTTGAGGACCAGACTAACCATTTGAGGCCCCAGACTAACCATTTGAGGCCCCAGACTAACCATTTGAGGCCCCAGACTAACCATTTGAGGCCCCAGACTAACCACTTGAGGACCAGACTAACCATTTGAGGACCAGACTAACCATTTGAGGACCAGACTAACCATTTGAGGCCCCAGACTAATCACTTGAGGACCAGACTAACCATTTGAGGACCAGACTAACCATTTGAGGACCAGACTAACCATTTGAGGACCAGACTAACCATTTGAGGCCCCAGACTAACCACTTGAGGCCCCAGACTAACCATTTGAGGACCAGACTATCCATTTGAGGCCCAGACTAACCATCTGAGGCTTCAGACTAACCATTTGAGGCCCAGACTAACCATTTGAGGCTTCAGACTAACCATTTGAGGCCCAGACTAACCATTTGAGGCTTCAGACTAACCATTTGAGGCTTCAGACTAACCATTTGAGGCCCCAAACTCATAAATTGAGCTATATTTTAAGAGCTAAACTCGGACACTCGCTCGCAAACTAACTCTCTCTCTCTTTCTCTCTCTCACACACACACACACACGCCCACGCACACACCTGCACACACACACACACACGCCCGTACACACACACGCCCACGCCCACACTAACAGAATAATCAATAATCAGCTCTGCATGACCTTGCTGAGCTACCCATGTCCTTCACCACTGGCAGTAGAGCTCTCTCTCTCTCTCTCTCTCTCTCTCTCTCTCTCTCTCTCTCTCTCTCTCTCTCTCTTTCTCTCTCTCTCTCTCATGCACTACACCTGTTGACCACCTTACAGGGTACGAGTGCTTCCTTACATGTCTTCCACTCTCTTGCGTGTCCAGCTTCACCTGTGTCCTCTTGTCCTGCACCTACACCTTCCACCAGTACTGTTATCATACACCTACATCCTTCCACCAGTACTGTGTCATACACCTACACCCTTCCACAGTACTGTGTCATACACCTACACCCTTCCACAGTACTGCACCACACACATACAACCTTCCATAGTACTGCACCATACACACACAACCCTCCACAGTACTGCACCACACACATACACCCTCCTACACAGAATACACATAAAGAACAGATTTCAGCGTCCCCATAAAGATTGAGCTCATTACTAAGTGAATGACAGAGGTGTGGGTGTCTGGGTGGGGAAGAGGGTGGGGAACAGGGTGAAGAAAAGGGAGAGGGTGGGGAAAAAGGGAGTCGAAGGAGTATACCAACCAGTACTTACCTGACAGTGCAGACGACGAGTCACAATAACGTGGCGGAAGATATATGACCAAACCACACACCAGGAGATGAGTCGACGACGACGTTTCGGTCCGTCCTGGATCATTCTCAAGACATATGTGATGGGAGAATCACATGGTGCCCGTACAACTTCTTGCGTGACTTAATCTTCAGCAATCGATCAATCTCCCATCAAATACGTCTTGCTAATGGTCCAGGATGGACGGAAATTTCGTCGTTTCTTCATTTTGTGGTGTTCAACCACTTGGGCTGGACGGCAGAGTGACGGTCTCGCTTCATGCAGGTCGGCGTTCAATCCCCGACCGTCCAAGTGGTTGGGCACCATTCCTTCCACCCGTCCCATCCCTGATCCTTATCCTGACCCCTTCCCAGTGCTATATAGTTGTAATGGCTTGGCGCTTTCCCCTATTCATTCCCTTCGCTTCATCTTGTGTGTTTTTTTTTTATTATTATTATTATTTCCTACCACAGACGTGGCCACACAGTTGCAATGCTAACCAGCATATATACATTTTCTTCTGTCCTCCATGGACAGGGATAGAGAAGTGTTAAACATATAGTTCAAGGGTTTATTGAACACTCAACCACAGAAGGTGAATCGGTGCTTTTTAATCTTGTGCTGTGGTTACCTTGAGGTTGCCTTGAGGTGCTTCCGGGGCTTAGCGTCCCCGCGGCCCGGTCGTCGACCAGGCCTCCTGGTCGAAACCTTCCTCCTTAGCTGGAAGTGTGTGGTAGAGTCATCATATCTAACAGTGTTTACGGGGGAGTGAGGTGTAGCTCTTCCTGCCCAGCCTCGCAGCCTTGTTGGACCTGTTGTGTGTCAAACTATTATGACGTTTATATTCTGTGTCGAATTTGGCCTTAAAGTTGTGGATGGAGGTGGCTTCCACAGCTTCTTTCCTGAGCATTCCACTTGCTTATCACCCGTATAGGGTTATCTTGAGATGATTTCGGGGCTTTAGTGTCCCCGCGGCCCGGTCCTCGACCAGGCCTCCACCCGTGACAGCTGACTAACACCCAGGTACCTATTTTACTGCTAGGTAACAGGGGCATAGGGTGAAAGAAACTCTGCCCATTGTTTCTTGCCGGCGCCCAGGATCGAACCCGGGACCACAGGATCACAAGTCCAGTGTGCTGTCCGCTCGGCCGACCGGCTCCCTACCAATACTGGTACCAGGGTACAGTACCAGTATTCCCTTACATTTCTTCGGCTCATTTGTGTTTCCACCTCCCACCTGTGTCCTCTGGTCCTACTTTCTCTCAATATGAAAGTAGGTCCATCTACTCCTCTCAGTATCTTGTATAGTGTGATCATATCCCTTCAGTTCCTTCTATCCTCTAACGTTGTGAGATTAAGGGTCTTAGCCGTCTTAGCTGTGGCGCCTGTCTTATTGTAAACCCTTCTACTTTTCAATTATGGTTTTATGCTTCACAAGGTGAGGATTCCATGCCGATGCTGTATACTCTAGTCTTCGTCTAACAAATGTTGTGCAGATAGCCTGGAAGGAGAGTCCCGATTCCTGTTTCTACGCCATGTTCTTACATCTGAGAGCGTCTCGTAGACACAGTAAGCTGCCACTCC